TACTAAAAATAAAGCAAATTTCATAATAAACCGTTTGATATAAAAGTGAGGTAAGTAAAAAGAATTGTATAAATCATAAAAATAAAATTTACAAGAATATTTGTATAACTTATAAAGAAATGCTATAAAAATTTAAATAAAAAAATTTTATAAACATTTTGCAAGAAATTATTTTGAACGCTATCCACTCACATGAAAGTTTTCAATAATTTTAAAGTTTAACCTTCTTAACTTTTCACTTTGATTCTAATGATGCCCTTCATTTCCTAACAAGTAAATTATAAGTCTAAAATCATTTATCAAGAAATTTTTCAAGCTCTTAATGGACATTTAAATTTAACCCAAACAACATTAAAGATAATACTTTAGCTAATTATATTCCAAATACACTGGAGTAAATTAAACCATTTGACAAATCTAAATTCATCCTCATACTTCCTTGTGGCCCATTATCAATTATAAATCATAATAAATTTAATCAACCATTCCCATGCTTCCTTTAAACTTGGAAAAAAAAATGATACTCCCTCCGTTCAAAAATGTATGATATTTTTAATCGAATCTCACCCTCTAATAAAGTAGTTACCTATTTTTCAACTAACCCTATCTTTTCATATTTATCCCTATTAAATACTCTATAATAAATATAAAATTATTATCAATAGAGGTACTTTTGAAAAAAAAACAATGATTACACCTCAGAAAATTAAAAATGCCTTACATTTTTAAACATTCAACTCTTTAAAAAATATCTTATATTTTTAAATAGAAGGAGTATATGACTATCTTATATAATCATTTTTCATATTTTGATATCTTTAAATTTTAATCAACAATTCAAGTCACTTTTTACACACATATTGTTTTCAACTAGTTTATATTCATTTAGTAATTTTCTTATAAATTTTTTCTTTCAAACATCTTGACTGCATTCAAATTTAACTCACAATGAACATTCAACTATTTAATTAACTTTCAACTTATCACCAACTAAAAGTCATGCATAGCCTGAGCTGAAATTACAGCTCAAATTTAGAAAAATCATGACAGCACTAAGAGGAGCAGGGACGCGCCTTCGGTGAGGGAAGAAGAGAGTGATTTGTGTTGCTTTGACTAGGAACTTGCCTTAATCAAATTACCGTAGCGTCAACCACACTTCAACTCACGGATACCACCCAAGGAAAGGAGAATAGTTGCGATTCTGTTGCTTAAATGAGGAGGAAAAGAAATAGACATCACCGACTAAAATCAAGAAAGGATTCAAGCTAACCCCACACACACACACACACAACTTTCAGCTGTTGAAAGGAAGAAAAGAGAAAGCTGTACACGCATGCACGCACAGACCTGTCAGCCACGCAACAGCGAAGAACAAAGAGGAGATTCAGGTTCACCGCTTGACAGAAACGGACAGGCAGCAGAGGAGAAAGGAGCGGACGACTTTCCGGTGATGAGGAGACACGGACGCTAACGGCAAAGATGAAACCAGCGCAACGAGAAAGAAAAGAAAAGATGAGGAAAAAGAAACGCGAGCCTTCACTCTATTCTGCATCTTTCACCGACAAAGGAGGAGAAAATGAAATATAAATCTCCTTGAAAAAATTACAAAGCAAGACCAAATCTTGTTGGGGAAAATTTCAAAAGAAGACCCCACTAGATTTATCGTCTATTTATTTATTATTATTTTTAGGTTATTACATTGGAGTCTTGAAAAAATTAGAAATCCTTAGCCTTGCTCGTTCATCTATGGAAGAGTTTCCCAATGAGATAGTACAGTTGACTCATCCAAGAATGTTGGACTTGAGTAATGCTGAAATTGAGGTTATCCCATTCAACATTGTGTCCAAGTTGACCAAACTAGAGGAATTGGCTATAGGTAATGCTTCGATATAGTGGAAGGTAGAAAGTTCAACTGAACCAAACGAAAATGCTAGCCGTGTTGAGCTTGGGCAGTTGACAAACTTGACTACTTTAGAAATTCAAATTCATGAAGCTTGGATGTTCTCAAGGGACATAATGTTCGAGAAGTTAGACAACTTTAAGGTTGTTATAGGAGATAAATGGGAATGGTGGGATGATAATGGAACATCGAGGTTGCTAAAGCTGAAGCTTCATACTAGCATTCATTTGGAACATGGGATTAAAACATTGATCAAATGAGTGGAAGATTTGTACTTGGATGAAGTTAATGGCATTTCAAATGTGCTTTTTCAATTGAATGCCAATGGATTTCCACAGCTAAAACATCTCTACATCCAAAATAATAGTGAAATTCAACTTATTGTCAACTCAATGGAGAGGAATCAAACTTGTGTCCTATTCCCAAAGTTGGAGACTCTAAAGCTTCACAATCTCAGTAACTTGGAAAATATTTGTTATGGGCCACTTACAGTTAATTCTTGAGGCAAACTCCAAGTTATCGAAGTCCAACTTTGTGAGCGATTGGTATATCTCTTCTGTTTTGACAGTTAAAGCTCTTTGCCAACTTGTTGAGATTGAAGTTTCTGAATGCAGTTCTATGAAGATGATTTTGTTGGTAGAAAATGTGGGTGGTGGCATAAATACTGATGATAAAATTGAGTTTTATTCTTTGCGCTCCTTGACTTTACAACATTTGCTGGCCATTGATGATTTATGCTCAAATGAATTGATTCCTTCTATGACAACTGAGAAGAATTAGTTGAGGACTGATATTCCTCTACCATTTTTCAATGGCAAGGTACATCGAAACATCATGATCTTTTTAATTATAAGCATGACCTTATATGTGCATGATGCTAGCTTTTGGGTCATTTAATACAAACAATATCATTATCCTTGTTTGAACAAAATCCTCAACACTTTCATCATCCTCATACAATTTCATTGTGCATTTTCTTTTTTAACCATGTATGGTGAAAGTAGTAAATTTTTCAACAGGTTAGATTTTCTAATTTGGAGAGCCTGAAGTTGAGTTCAATCAATGTGGAAAAAATTTGGGATGACAATAACTTCTCTGCAGCATATTCTATTCACAATTTGGCTAGCTTGACTGTTGAGGATTGTAATGGCCTGAAGTATTTGTTTCCATCTTCAATGATTGGAAGTCTTTCAAAACTTGAGCAACTTGAAATAAGTAGATGTGATATGATGGAGGAGATAATTGCTACACAAGGGAGACACAATGCAGCATTGGAAGAGGTAATATGATTTCAACATTATGCTTTCTTCAAATAAATCTCAGTCTTAAATATTGAAACAAAACTAATGTTAAAAATCAATTGAATTCTTATTTAACCAGATAAGAAGATCATGTCTGTCAGGAAGAGCATCGTGAAACCAGAGTAGCAAAGTATTGTACATACTTATTTTAAGTACCCAAAAAGAAATTAGAATGAATTACATTTTACTTTTTTTTTTTTTGGTAGTTTTATCTGAATGTCATCAACCCAAGTTTTGTGAATGGATGATAGGTGCTTTTTCCTGAATTAGAAATAATAATAATAAATGACATGCAGAACTTGAAGACTATATGGAACCCCATCCTCACTCCAAATTCCTTGGGCAGCTTTAACTCGTTAGAAGTCAACAATTGCGAGAACATTGATAATATATTTCCAGCATATATGCATTGAGCATTTGCAAGTCTAGAAACTTTGGTGGTTGAAGACTGTAACTCAGTGCAAGAGATATTCCAAGCGGGAGTCAATGACATGCGTTGTGCAAAGGATAAAACACAGCTCAAGAATATAACACTTCTTCGATTGCCACTACTGAAACAAATTTGGAATGGAGAACCTCCATCAAGTATTCACTTCCAGAATCTGCAAGTTGTGTGTGTTGAAGATTGTGAAGGTTTAGAATACCTTTTTCCATTCTCCATAGCAATGGACTTGCTTCAGCTTGAAAATGTTACCCTGATCAGTGATAGGAAGTTGAAGGAAATTGTTTCAGACAAAGAAGGAGCCATGGAAAGTCCTGTCAAATTTGAGTTTAATCACTTAAGTTCATTGATGCTTTGGTGGTTAGATGAACTTGAGGTATTTTTTGCTGGAAATCATACTTTAGTGTGTCCATCATTGAGTGATATAGATGTCCGCTGCTGTGTGAAACTAAAACCATTCAAGACACAGCGTACAAGTTCCCTAGGAATAGATCTTGATGGTAAACTCAAGGTCTCAAAGCAGCAGTCTCTTTTTACACGTGAAGAGGTATGGTTATTGTAACAAGATTTCCTAAATTTGAATTAAAAACCTTAGATAGGATGCATAGCATTCTAATTTAATAAAACGGAACACACACACAGACACACTCTTGTACTAGCTTTCTAGAATGCATGCTAATTAATCACTTACTTTTTTCACCAAAGTGTGTATAGGAAATAACTAATTATTGACCTAACTTCTATTGTTCTGGACAAAATAATTTATAAACACTTTTCCCCTCTAGTAATTAATTAAGCTTTGTTTGATACACTTACATGGTATTAGGTGGTTTGGAACTTGGAGAGCTTGGCACTAAACAAGGAGAATGCTAGCATGATCTTAGAGGGGCAATTTTCAGAGGAACAATTCTCCAAGCTTAAATATATTATTCTGTCAAATTTTGAAGATGAACAAGCTACTTTTCCACATTGGTGTGTCCAAAACATGACCAATCTGGAACAGCTACTTGTTCAATGGAGCTCTTTCAAGGCAATATTCCAAGAAGAAAAACCTATGGATGAGAATGCACCAATTGAAATCAGAACGCGAATCAAAATGTTGCATCTGCATCATTTGCATGAAATCCAATATATATGTAAAGAAGGGTTCCAAATAGACTCAATTCATCAGGTTCTTGAATGTCTGTATGTTAATCAATGCTCTGATCTGAGGTACTTGGTCCCTTCTTCCGTTACTTTTAGTCACCTGACATATTTAGATGTGCAAGGATGCAAAGGAACGATTCATTTAATTACTTCATCAACAGCAAGAAGTTTGGTTAAGTTAACCACATTAAAGATAAGAGAGTGCAATTCGATGGAGAAAATTGTAGCAGAAGAGGGAGGAGAGACTGAAAATGAAATTGCATTCAACAGCTTGAGGAGAATTTGTGAAAGTTGCTTAATGCCAAAACTTGAAAAATTTGTTTTGGGTATCACTATGCAAAGATTTGAAGCAGCTTGAGGAGCTTGAAATTGTGTCTTGTGGTGTTGAGGAAATTGTTGCGAATGAAGATGGGTTAGAGGACCTTTAGTTTGATTTTCCTAGTGTAAGAGTCATCAAGCTATTAAATTTGATGCAGTTCAATGATTTCTATCCAAAAAGGTATACTCTAGAGTGTCCTTCATTGAAGATATTAAATGTTGGTCAATGTGAATCATTGCAAATATTTGCATTTGGCCAATTGGATTCCCATCTGCTTAGAGGGGATTATGTTGATTTGCGGGTATTATTTTATATTGAAAAGGTACACACCGTCTTCTTTTATTGTTGAAACATGCTATAATTATATATGTGATTTGCAAAGAAATCAGTTTTATGAACTTTTTAATTGATTATATGATGAAATAAATAAATTATACCTTGTCTTTTTAGGTACCCCAAAATTTGGAGGAGTTGTCATTAAATGAAAGGGTTGCGATGAGGTTATTGAATGACACTTTAAAGGGAAAAATCTCTTTCAGAGCATACAAATACTTCGTTTGCAATATTTCCAAGAAACTCCAATTTATTTTCCGAATGATTTGATTGAAAAGTTCTCAGCTACAGCAACATTCCAGGTGTGTTGTAGTTCTTTTGAAACACTCTTTCCTTCAGAAGTAACTGGTCATTGTAGTACTGAAAGCCCCACCCAAATTAAAAAACTCAGGCCATTTCAATTGGAGAAGCTTGAGCATCTATGGAATGATGATTCAGTGTCACATCCCCTAGCTCAAAATCTTCAATATCTCTCCATACAGGAATGTTCTAGGTTAACAAGATTGGCACCACCTTCAACATCTTTCATAACATCTTTCATAAATTTAACTACCTTGGAAGTGAATGAATGCAATGGGTTGATGTACTTCATGACAACTTTCACTGCTAAAAGTCTTGTCCACCTCACGAACTTGACAATTAGCAATTGTGGAATGCTAGAGGAAGTTGTGATGATGGATGAAGGAGAATCAGAGAAGAGATACTATTTGAAAGCTTGAAGCATTTGGAACTAAACTGTTAATCAAGTTTCAAAAGCTTTTGCTCTGGGAAACAGGCATTCATATTCCCATCTTTGGTGGCATTAAAAGTGGCAGGATGCCACAAAATGCAAAACTTTTCATCTGGAGTCATTGTAGCCCCATTCTTGAAATTAGTGGAAGTGGACAATGGAAAAAAACGTTGGAAAGAGGACCTTAACACTACTGTCAAGAAGTTTTTCATAGACAAGGTATTGATTCTCCTTTAGTCTTCTTGATTTTCATGTCTGAGTGATTTAGACAACATTGTTCTGTGACAAAAGTATGATTTTGATTGAAAAATATGTACAACTTGAATACAAACATCCAAAATCTTAAAAATAGATAGAAATATTAAACCTAAATTCGTATTGCTGTCAAGATATGATGTTTGCCTGACTACCTTAATCAGGCTGTTCGAGAATGGAAAGAAGGGAACTGCTTGGAATCTTCAACTAATACTACAAATAGTAGTCAAGCACGTGAAAGGACTGTGAGTGCTACTGAAGCATTGAGCTCCGAAAAGAAAGTAGGTATACCAAAGCCTAATCACATTGCAGATCACGAGAAGCTAGAAATAAACAAGCTTCCAAGCCTATCTCGTGGCAAAGAACAGAAGGAGAAATCCTGGTTAGGTATTGAGAGGCCTCAGGCTCAGGTTACTCAAAATGGCTCTAGCTCTTCTACAATTCAAGATGCAGGTATTGAGATTGCCTTACATTCTTCAATATGCCATGAACAATCAGATATTGCTTTAACTGTGGTATATCTAATGATTGATTCCTTTTTTTCAATAGAAAGCTTAATGTCAAGTCACTTTGTTATCAGATTTATTGGCTTGATCTTTTTTTTTTTTTGGGTGAAATACTTACAATTCTGGTTTTGTAAACTGAAATCATCTAAAACGAAATGACATGACCTAAAAACATCTCTCAACAACAAACTGTTCAATGAATTCACAACTATTATTGGCCACAGAGAACATAAAGCATTTCTTTTACATTTAAGAAGGAAGAAAATAACTTTTATTTTTGCTAAAACTTCATGCCATTCTATTTTTAATTTATTTAGTTATTGACATTCAAAAGATGTGTGAAATCATCAAGAGATCCTTAGTTTCAACTGCTAAAAACAACATCCTTAGTCTCATTCCTTTTTCTTTTTTTTTTTGTTATAAAGGGAAAAACTTGTTTGCTTATTAGCTATTTAGATTACAAATGTATGAAACCATTGAGAGGAGCTTTGTTTGGACCGAGTCTTACCACAGAAGAAACTTTGGCTCCAATATGTCATAAATGATATAAACGGTGCTGTCATGTTAAATGACTTTTAATACCATACTCTTTGATTATAATTAATTAATGATATTAACTTACTATTATGTAAACTGAAAACAACTAGAAGAAACACAAGCCTCAAAGACTCATTCTAGTGAGAATTTGTTTAAGCAAGCCACAATTGTTGATAACAAAGAAAGTAACGTAGGTACTGATACTGTTTTATAATCTCCTACATCTGACAAATGCCCAAATCTATTTAAATGTAATGTTTAGCTTTTTTAGAAGTAATTTTCAATTTTGTGGAAATGTTGTGACTTTCTATTTCCTTATTTGCTTTAACTCATTTATTTAGCCACAGGGATTCCCGAGATGCATGAGACTGTTGAGAACATTGCTTTGCTTATAAATGATCTAGGATTGCCTTGTTCTGTTTTTTTCACTCCGTTATAGTACTTTGACTTGATTAATGATTCAACTTTTATATGGTGTTAACTGAAATACACTAGAAGAATTAAATGAAATTCTTTTAAACATATTTATTTAGCTATAGGAACTCAAGGGATGCATGAGACCATTGAGGGGCCATTGGTTGAATCTACTCAAAACACACTTAGTCTTCCCACAATCCATGATGCAGGTGTTCATCTCGTTTGCTAGTCCAATTTTGTGTAAATGAAATAAATTGCTTTTTATATTTCATTAATGACTCTTTTTATAGCACTCATGGGCTAATTCTAACTTCTATTATATGAACTCAAATCTATTAGTAAAATCACTTGACTCAAAAACTCATCCTAATAAGGTTTTATTCAATCAGACCGCAGATCTATTAGAAGTAATGCATGTTTTGTATACTTTAAAAGGACACAGGTTTTAATCTTGTTTGTTGTTCCAATTCATCATATAAATGATCTGGAATTCTTTTGTTATATTTGATGGATCTTTGATTTAATGCTCTCGCTTTATTAATTAATGATTCTGTCTTTCTATTATGTTAACTGACATTTTATGGAAGAATCACATGACTCAAGAACTCGTCGTAGGGAGAATTTGTTCAACCAACCCCTAACCTTTGTGACTGGCAACAAGAAAGAAAGTAATGGATTTCATAACTTTTTACAAGGACTATTTTGGGGGGAAAAAACTTGTCTCGTATAACGTTTCTATTATTTCTTTAGCCATTGGAACTCGAGAGATACATGACACCATTGACAAACTCTTGATTCAAACTGGCCAAGGTGCAAAGATCCTTGCCACAGAACAAAACAAAGGTTCTTATCTTGCATTGAATTTTGTATTTTTGTAGTATTCTTTAAATTAACTAATAATTCTATCATCATGTCAATTAAAATCTACTAGAATAATGAATAACCTCATGATTTATCCTATTTTCTGATTTTCAATTGTTGATCCAGAAATTGAACCATCGCCTTCACAAGCTCCTCAACCAATGACTTCATCAGCATTAGCATTGAATGCTTACAGCAATTACAAGGGGATGATTGACATTTCCGAAAAGAACATGCTATATTTGGAGGCTAGGGTAAAGCGCCATCCTCGAGTGCTCAATTGGCTCAACACAAAGCGACGAAGAGTGTTTGCTTCCTCCTTCTTTTCCCTATTTTCTGAGGCGACTCGTATTTTGAGGACCACTCAAAGAGGACACTTGATGGAAGATGATTGAAACTACATTAGAGAGTGTTGCACTGCCTTACAAGGGGTTGGCTTTGATGATTCCTGGATCAGTTACGTGCATGGCTGCATTGAGGAATGCGTTGATGGAGAAGACCTCAAGAGGAAGGCTGAGGATGCTGAAGGTCAGGCTTCAAATCTGAAAGCTCAGCTTGAGTCCATCAAGAAGGAGTTAGCTTCTGTGGAAGAATCCTTAGTGTTGTTGCGTGAAAAGGCTAGTAGGCTGCATGACTTCATCGAATCTTGAAATGACTTCATCGAATCTTGAAATTTTGTGAACTCTGCTGGAGATATACTCCCTCCGGTCCCATTTATAAGTCCCATTTTAGAAGGTGCATTTGGTTCCATTTATAAGTCATGGTGCGTCTTTTTAGGTAATATTTGAGAGGTATTTCCAAAATTACCCTTCATGAGAGAGAAAAAGTAACAGGACATTACTTTTTAGATTTATTATATAGGGACATGTTTGGAATTTTACTTACTTTTATTCCTTATACTTTTATTGTATTGGTATTGATGAGGTTGGTAGAAATGACTTATAAATAGGATCGAAGGAGTACTTGCTTTGATATTTTCATTTCAAGTACTGTATATATTTACTTTTGTGCGGGTTGATTTGTGGTTTGTCTAATGTACATTATAAGTAATGCGTCATTCTGTATCCAATGAACTTGTTGGTTCTGCATGTTACTGTTAAGTACTGAAGGAATTGGCAATGCTATATCCTTCTCTGGATGCTAGCTATTTCAATTATTTGGTTTTGGTTGTGGTTGGAGATGGATTCTATGTCATTTTAAAAGAAGGCAACATGTTAAGTACTAGTTACCTTCACTGTTCATAATTTGGAAATGCATGAAAGATAGAAAATATAATGCAGTGTTATTTGGTAGGTAAAAAGAAAGTGTTTTTTAGGGGGAAAAAAATGCTTGTATTATTATTTTTTTCTTTTTAAGTACATTTTCTTTTATAATCATCCAGGTACATTTTTTATTTTCTTTTTTAAAAATAAATTTTCGTAACGAAAAGAAATCATCATACTCATTATTCTCTGCTTTGCCTTACAATTGCCTTTTACTTTAGTATCAATAGAAATAGATGGGGAAAATGTCAATTTGATGTATCCATTTTCTCGTCCTGGAAATCCTTTTTTTTTTTTCACTTACGCCTATAATTCAAACAAAAAGGTTTTAACTTTTTATTTTTCCCCCTAAGAAAACTTGAAGTCAGAAGAGATTTTTTTTTAAAAAAAAAAAACTTTACACGCACATATAAAAATCTTAGCCGAACATAGTAAAAAAACCAAATTAAATATTTTGTTTATAGAAAAGAATGTTTTGTTGATCTAAGCGGACGATGCAGTGATGTGACACGGAGTGCACATAGATTCAATTAGAAGAACATTACTTTCTGTACCTTGGAACCACATATAGCTTATAGAATCATCAATACTATGACTTCTATCATATCATCATCATTATTATGAATTGATGTCAAACCAGCAACAATGTAATTCTACAAATATTCTCATTCAGCACAACACTTCAAACCATCAAGTATTGATGTTACATTTAAAAATATCTCCCACAGAGTGTGAGTGTGTGTGTGAACAAAACCCTACAGTTTCATCAACCAAAAGTGAAATTGATTTCCAACACAATCTCCTTCAGATGCATCTCTTCAAAGTTCCAGCACCACAACTGCTCATCAAACAGTGATAGAAAAAGTAATTAGAGAAATTTATGGTCCAGAATCTCTCAAGCTGAAGATATTCATGCATAAAGACCTTAATGAGTGTATATAAATAAATTAAACGTGTCCCATACAGTCTCGTTTCTCTAAATGACTCTGTAACTGTACTAGTAGTTTCTCAGAGATCATCGGACCAATTCTATTGACGATGAGATTAATTAAGTGTTCATATCAGAGAAATAAATCTGTTGAAGGTGGCTCACATACATTCAGAGTCAGAGGTGATCCAGTTTCCTTTTCTGCGAGTCACGTGATCAGTGGTTGCAGATAGGGATCTTTGTGCATTAATAATATTTGATAAGGAAGTGGTAGAGCCACTAATTGCTTCATCATCTTCATCAACTGCTTTCACAGTTCCTCGCCTACTGTGCCACGCAACCTGTTCGAAATTTGATCAACATTTTCGTACCAACGTTAAAAAAAATAACATTTAAGGACCTTCTTAGAATATTATTTACAGTTAAGGATACTGAAATTTTAAAATTTCAAAAAAGGGTTACAGTCCTTAACTGAAATTAAAATTTTCTGAGTTAATTTTTTCAATATTCATCTTCTATATTTTCAATACTCATTTTCTAAATTTCCAATTTTTACTTTTAGAATTTTTAGTACTTAATTTTTAAATTTTTTCAGCAGTCATCTTAAATGTTTTTTATACCTATGTTTCATGTTTTAAGTAATAAAAAACACTTCAATTTTTTTTAGTGCTGAAACCATGAAATATGAGTATTGTAACTATTCAAGGTGACTACTGAAAAATTAGAAAACTGAGTCCTGAAGAACGTTGATAATGACAATTGAAAATGTTTTGGCAAAAAAAAAAAAAGACTATTGAAAATGTGGAAAATAATTGTTGAAAATATAAAAAACAACTAGTAAAAAAACTCAATCAGGAAAAATTTAATTCCAACTAACGACCATAGTCTTTTTTTGAAATTTTATAATTTTAAGGTCTTTAACTATAATTAATGCTCTTGTGAGATAATTAAATGTCATTTTTCAAAAGAAAAAAAACACACACTCACATGAGAATGTTAGGATAGACACATCATGAAAGAATGTCATCCATAAAAATCGATCCTTAATGGTTAAGGAGAGAGGTTGAAGAATTTACCTTTCGTCCATTGAATAGTTTTCCTCCTTTCTCTGTTCTAGAAGCAGCAGCCCATCTAACAATCTCTTTCATTCTTGAAGCAGGCTTCGTTTTATCCCTTTTCGTTTCATCATTTGCTTTTGGGTTTCTCACATGATCATGCGAATCTGTCTTCTTATTAGGGACCCCAATTCCTATGGACAATTCTTGTCTCTTCATCTTCATAGGGTACACAAGATTCAAGCTTCTGTTAAAACTTGCTAGCTTCATCAAGTTAAGTGTGCTGTAAAAGCAAGTCTTTGGAATATCTTTTCTGCATGTGAAAGCAAATATCTTCAGATTCTTGCACCCAACTTTCTTCTCTCCGTTTCTCTTTGTTCTGCCAGACAACTCGTGATGGTCAACTTGAATTATATGTTTCCCTCCAGCCTTTTGATCTGAAAAGGAAAAGAATACAACATTATAAGATACATACTAAAGGATTCTTTTTTCTTTTGATAAAGTTAAGTTGGATCTAGGGCTCATCAGGGTTAAATCATGCCTTCAAATTTAAATAGTGCTTACAAAGATATTCACTGATTATTTATCAACAAAATCCCTCACATTAATAATAGAATTTGAATGCACAATCTCATGAGTTATGAGCAAAATCTTTATTAATTGAATAAATATTTATTCAGATTTAGAATTATCCATTTTGTGGATACAGAAAACTTTGGCCAAAAAAAAAAAATAAGGATACAGAAACTGAACGGTTTGGAAAAATATTTTTCTTACCACTAAACTCTTCTGTCTTTGTGGTTCTCTGTCTTTCCTGTTCTTGAGATCTTTTACAGAGCCATTGAAGAATCTGCTGGGGTACATCAAAACAGATTTCTATCAGGTTAAACGTGCATAATATATATATATATATATATATATGTGCATAATGATCTCACAATATACACATACCTGCATATCTAGTGAGGGTACTATGATCACTTTTTCACTTCTGCTTTGTGATTGTGGGTCTGTGTTGATGACTTTAAGCCTGAGATTCGAATCTAATTACTTCTGTGACGTGTTTGGGTGGGATGAAGACAAAGAAAATCGCAGTATCAATTGGGGAAAGAGTTGGCTTACGATTCTTAGAAACATGGGGGACTGTTATATATAAGATGATTCTGTAGCATATTTGTTAATTTATTTTGATTAAGAAATGACATCTTCAAGCCTCTGTGGCATTGTTCTTGACCACACACGTGTATGCTTGTGATTTATTCAGACATCATGGATCATATTTAATGAATATTTACATGTCCCCACATAAAATTTTGAATGAAGTTGTGAGAAAAAATTATAAAGCTAGTAACATGAGTCAAACTACAGCGGGTTATGGGTTTGATGGGGCGAGTTAGCATAATTCACATTTTTTGTGAGTTGAATTCTGTCAACATGCACAACCCGCAGTGGGCTAGTGAGTTAGCGGGCCAACTCACAAATAAAAAAGTATTTTTTATAATTTTTAAAATTTTAAAAATTATAAATTTATATCTTTTTATTATTATTTTTCACAACAATTGATGTGTATTCGCTTTTTTCTTTTTATGTTCAAATTAAGATGATAATCTAATATGTGGTTAGCACTTTATAAATATGTTTAATTTTATAAATAAAAAGGGCAACTAAACTTTTTTTATTTGCTAGCTTGGGTGGCATTATTTTACAAACAAGATAGTTTAAATAAACTATTATATGAATGAAGCAGGATATAATAAAATATTTTATTCAATCTTGTCTTGATTACATTTAGATTATATTATATCACAATTTTAAAAATATGAGCAGTGTATTTTTATTATTTTCTACCATAATTTAAATTTAAATTAAATAAATGTAAAAGCATCAAGAACTTAGATTGCAATTTCATGCACGTTTGGTTGAATGTTTTATTTTAAACTCAACATCCTTTATTTTTTTTTAAATATAAGTAGGTTAACCCACGGTTTGCGGGTTCAAGTTATGCAGAGTGGGCCAAAACCGTCTTGCATATAATTGAATTCATTTTGTTTAATCCAACTCATAATTTTTTTGTGAGTTGGCGAGTTGAGCCCATACCAGCTCTATGAAAATGGATGAAACACGAACTTATTGCTACAATACAACTGGCTGAGTAAATCATTCAGCCTAAAATCTGTTGATGGTATGCGGTACACAATAGAGCAAGAGTAAGGATATGTTTGCCCTGTGCACATGTGTCATGTTCTATTAAACAAAAAAATCATATTCGAGACATAATTAAAGATTAAATATGAAACTTCTCTTGTAGTAAGAATTTAAACTTTAATTAATTAATTGAGGACTAATTCATTCCACTAAACATAATTCTTAATAATTATACTACAAAATCTTATTATAAATGTCACGCTCCAAAAATTTAAGGCATGACCGGCACGGAATATGTGTGTAAAACCCATATCCCTTAAGCCTTGAACAAATATACTTTCGTCCATGCCAAACTACAGGCATATGATTTTTGCTATTATTATTGTTGTTGTTGCTGTTGTTGTTGTTGTTATTATTATTATTATTTATAAAATTTTTAAAAGAACTTTCATGTAAATAAGACTTCCTGAAATGAATGACAAAGAACAATAATAATCAAAATAAAGGATCTCGCTCCCTACTAACATATATACAATCTTTTAAGAAAGATGAGAATCCTACCTACATTATACATGGAGCAGTTAGGACCATTCCCTGAAATGAATACAGGGTTCAAATTTTCATCAAGTAAAACTTGTTTGAAATAATTCTTCCACTCTACTTTAGCAATAGAATGCCTCAAGTAACACTTTGACATACAAGTTCAATTTATACTACCTGAGACCAAAAATATATTTTCCAGTGAATAACATCCCAACAATAAATAATTGAATATAAATAAAATGAAAAATTCAAAATAGATATGTAAGTTAATGAAACAAAAATTTCCATAAAAATTCAATAAGCTTCATAATAAGATATCTCTATAAAAATTCAAAAAATCTTAAATCATTGAACTATGGTAGCAAACGATAATATCACTTGATTTTAAGGAAGCACATGTATGAAATAAATATTTATAAACAAATTATTGAATAAAAATCAATGGAATATAAAATCATCAAGTAATTAGATTCATAATTATAGAGACTTATCAGAACAATTAACAAACGTGGACACATAATTCACGAGGGTAACTAACTAAACGCGGCTTATGCCACGAAAAAAAAACGTGAACACACAGTTCACGAAGGTAAGTAATCAAACGCGGCCTGAGCCACGAAACAAATGTGAACACACAGTCCACGAGGGTAATGCTAATCAAACGCGGCTTGAAGCCACGAAACAAACGTGAGTATGATGCTCACGAATAACCATTCCTCCATTCCACGTGCGTTGGCTATCGCACGGGGCTAGCACATCCTATAAACACCCTACTAGCTAGGTGTACCATGGCACGCCAAGGGCTAACAGGACTGCCATTAGCAACCAGTGTTCTGTATAAAGTCTCTTTTTAAAACCATTTTCAAACATGCGAGAAAATCATCACTTTCAAGATACAGTTCTCATTCTCAAAATCAAACTCGCATGAATACTTTTAAGCATTAAAACGTGTCAAAATAAAATTTCATATCCAATGCTCATGCTTGTATTTATTGAATAAAAAAAATTTTCAATGTCGAACTCGCATGAATCATTCTCTGTATCAATCCAATATTTGATAAAATAAAAATCTCATCATCAAAGTTCAAGAACTTGATTTAATTGATCAAATAACATTTCAAATTTAGTAAAGCTAACTTCTCAAAATAAAGTAATGTTAATCAATAAATATCCAATAATCGCATTAATGTTATTAAAATGATTTCCAGAAAAAAAACGTAATATTTTATTAAAGGAAATTTTGATTAAAAAAAATCAGTTGGGACGCTATTCACTTACCTGTAACACTTTCAACCTCAAAACTCACTTCTTTCAACTGCAATAATCGAGCTACCCTGTTTACGATTACCCTATCATATAAAATAAAATCTTAATGAACTTTGCTTTTGAATCAACAAGTCTCTTTTTAAGAGAGTCCACTCAACTAGAATCAATAATAATAATAATTTTAAAGTTTTAAGAATAAAATCCAAACCTATAGGTTTTTTCTTAGACTTTTTATTAAACACATAATATGCAACACTCTAAGCCATTCAATAACACTTGCATCCTTTAATTCTCTTGCCCACTATTTCCAAGCATCCAAGTATGACCTCCAAAATGATAATATACTTTATAAATCATCAACCATTTAATCTCAATAATTTAAAACCCAAATAAAATTTTTATAGCTTCTTAAATACACCTCTTGACAAAACCTAATTGAGATATACAAATCCTAATATCCAAGCCAAATCATCCTTCTTGAGAAACCATCACTATTATAGATACAAAATCAAACAATCATATAACAAGACTCTCTCTCTAACATTCTATCAAATACTTCTGTGAGGATTTGAACCTTAAATGTAATCAAGCTTCTCCCTACCCAAGTCCATTTACCAAAACTTTCCAACATAGATGTTTAGATTAATTAGCCTTCCAAATTCATTTCTTCAACAGAAACCAAATCAATTTAACTCAGAAAATTAAATCCCTATCCAGAACCAGTCAAGCTTAAAGGAATTTCAAATCACTGTCATGCTCCTTAAGTTTTAAGTAAAATAATTATAGGGAAATAACATGCTAAAATCAGAAGAATAAAACATGAATTTCAACTTGATTAAACCTCAATATTTCTTTCATTCACGCAGCCATGCACTAGACCAGCAGAAAAGAAGAAAAATAAGGATTCAAAGATCTTCACCTCAGGTCCACCATGGCAGATATGGAATAAGAAACTCAAAGTTCCCTCTAACCAAAAAAATGTCGAGAACAGGGGAAAGAGAGCTGCTCACTATCGCGCACAGGGAAATGGGAGAACTAGCAAACTGAACCTCTAACCATGACAGAAATCACTCCCACCGCATGATATAGAAACACGTAGCTGAAACTAACAGAGGAGAATGAAGGACGACAGCAGAATTGACAGAACCTCCATGGCAGCAAGCACCAGTGACGCGTAGTAGGAAAAAATGAACTTTGACATTCACACATAGCAACACAGTAAAGGAGGGGGAGGAAAGTTCACTCATAGTCGCCGGCGATGACAGGAGGGAGGGATTTCGATCTATTACGGCAACTAGAGCGAAAAGAAACTAGGACCTCCAGCGAACACACTCGAGCCTACCGGCGAGCTCACCCAAATTAGGAAGAGAACAAAGAGTTGTAATGAGGAAGGAGAATTACTCTCTCGTTTGGTCTGGAATGTTCCACTGAATGAACAGGAGGAGGCTGATGGCGATGCGTGGGAATGGAAGAACCTGATACGCTACCCCATGACAGCACATACAAGAAGGGAGATGAGTTTTCGGCTACACAAATTAAAGAAAAAGGGAACACGCAGTAGCACGAACCAACAGGCCATGTCAGCAAGGAATAACAGAGGAGGTGAGAAATTCTTTTCCGGCGCATCCACATCACTGGCGATGATAGTAGGCGGCAGAAGAAACAGAGGAAAGTCAAGACAGGAAGGTCTGAGCTCACTCGCTCACTCTCGCTCTCTCTCTCTCTCTCGGCTGGTTTAGAATTTTTGAAAAACAGGGGCGAGGAGGAAGCCTGATATATATCTGCCATTTCTTTTTTTTTCATTTCTTTCTTTTTTTTTAAAGGGCAAAATGGTAGTTTCCAATAACAGAGGAAAAATAAAAATAAAAATAAAAATCTCTAGTGCAAAACTTTAATGATAAGAACCAACAAAATCTTTACAAAACCACCAATGCATGTTGTTGTTATTATTATTATTATTTAAAATTTTTTTAAAAAATACAATAAAATTATCTTATTATTTAATCTAACTTTATTATTATAATATGGGTTATTACAATAAACACTTGAAGTGCCTAAAGAGACCAAATTTGTTTGCATCAAATGCCTGAGCATGAATCAGACATCAATGCAAATGTTAATGGAAGGGACATTGTAATAACC